TGATGTTTGTGGTAGATATGGCCACTTAGGAAAGTTTTGTTTTGATAATGTTTCACATTTGCAAAATAATCTTAAAAGAAAATCTTTATTTGCAAATGATTCACGTGCACGAACTAATGGTCCACAAAAACAAATGGATCTCTTTCATTGCACAAATTACAATCGGAAGGGTCATTTGAATGAATATTGTTTTGACCATGCTAGTGCACCACATATACCTAAGAGGGTTCATAACCCTAAGGTTTTGAGTTTTAATGGTAGGGGTCATGTCCCTAAATCTTTTGGTACCAAGAGTTCTTGGGTACCAAAACAAATTTAAATTTTAAACCAAGAATTTTAGTATTCTTACTTTTCCTTCTCTTGGTTTTGAAAATTATGTCTTAAAATCTATTGTTTATGAAAACAAATTTTTAATTGATCAAATCCTTTGTTTTTCATGATCTTATACTTCTAAAGATTTTTTATCCATAGTTCATGATTCTAGTACGTTTTGTAATCTTATTTTTGAACTATGAAAATCTTATTTTGATTTGTTCTTTTGAATTCATTATATAGCACAAATAGATAATTCAAATTTCAAATATGCTCTATAATGTATTCTTTATACGGTTTGATCAAGTTTTTCAAAGAAAGTTTTCTTTGTTGATCAAACATTGCTTTTGGACTTAAAATTTGATTTATGATTTCATTTGAGTGATTTGTTTTCTTTTGAAAACTTTTTACATGATTCTCATGTATTCTTTCATAAATCTATTTTATACATAATGTTTATGTTCTTTGATATGAGACATTTGTTTTAAATGATACATTTATATGTGTTCTCATTATCTCTTGAATGTGAGTGATTGTTAGCATATCTTTTATGCTTGCTCACATATGTTTGCCATGATCTTCATTTCATACATTCATGAGGCATTTTGATAGGGGGAGCAATCCCTATATCCTTCTATGTGTTATACTCACCCATGCATATTGGTAGGGGGAGCTTTCGCTCTCTTATTCTTTTTGTCCCCTTTTTGATGTTGTCAAAGGGGGAGAAATATTGTGAGTATACATTTCCTTATTTATATGCATGTGAATTATATTTTATATATCCATTTCCTTTCATGCATATATCCTTTTTTTGTAAATTGTTTGTCATCATCAAAAAGGGGGAGATTGTTGGCCTTCTTGTTTTGATGATGTTTAACAAACAATTTACAACTAATGTTGTTTGTCTAGTGTTTGTGTTTTCGTATTTATTTTAGGCAAACAACGAGTTGGAGGATGGATGGAATAGAGCTTCAACGATCATATCCAAAGGAGGTTGGCGGAATGTCGGTGAAGCCTTGCTATTCAAAGTTCAAGATCCAAGTTCAAGCTTCATCCGCGAGATTACCAAGTCAAGCTTTATTGAAGATCAAGATCATTGCTTGGGTAATTTAGTTTAGGAATTTATATTATGTGTGTTAGTACTTTAAGCTCAATCATATACACACATACACGTTTTGGTTTTTGTATATATATAGTTATATATATACATATATGTTTTGGTTTGATAGTTTTCAAGTTTTACTATGAAACAAATGAATAGAATTGGAAAATACTATTTTGTTTCATGTTTATATGCCTATATATGATTTCACCTTTAACAAGCTTATATTTAATTTGCTACAGTAACAGCTAGTTCTGTTTTTTGTTTATTTTAATGTTTTGGGGGTGTTTTTCTTGGTTTTTGGACTTGTTTCATGAGCCTATATATACCCCATTGCTGATGTCTTTTTAAACTAACCAATAGAGTTTTTAATCAAGTTTAATAAAGTTTTTAACAAGGGTTTTAGTTTGGTTTAAGTGTGTTTAAAAAGCTTTTAAGCAAATTGAGAGTTTGTTTTTGTGATTCAATTCTACAAGAGCTTGAGGAGATCATCTATTGGTGTTTGGGCATTCAACTATTCTCCCTCCAACTCTTGATATATTGAGAAGTTTTCTAAACTCTATTTCTAGCTTTTTTATATATTTGATTATCATTGTTATTAAGCTAGAACTACATTGAGTTTAGTTTTGATTTATATCTCTTTGTTCACACACAACCTTTTGAGCTTATTGTATTTACATTCATAGTATAATTTGGGGTTGTGGGTTTGTGACTAAGAGTTGTGCTTAATTGAGTTCTCACCTTGTTTTGAGAACAATCATTTGTCATATTTGTGCTTATTGTGAGAATCACTTTGTAATACACTTGTACACCGAGTGAGGAGTGTGTGGTGAGAGTCGGGGATCGTCCCAAGAGGAGTGGCGTCGGTTGACGTGCCTAGGGAGAGGTTGTAACCGAGCACTTGAGGGAGACACGGCTAGGTCCAACACTTAGTGGGTGTAGAGTGTGATTGCAAGAGTGTGAGTTATAGAGTTTTCGGTTAGCTAGAAAACCGAGTGTGTAGAAGAAGTTTCGGCTTCCAAACCGGATTGTGTTAGTGGATTTCTCCCCGGGAGTGGGGAGCAGAGACGTAGGACGGAAGGTCCGAACTCCGTGATCATATTGCTTGTTTGAGTGTGCTTTGGCGTTCATTCATATTTATGTTCATACCTTATATCGCCATTGTCATTAGCTCATTATCTATATCATCCACTATCTTGTTTAGATTGTTTACCCTTGAGTTTATATATCCTTGCACATACATTGCCTATATCTCTTTGTTAGGATATATCTTGTTGTTCATATTGCTTATCCTAGCTCATATATATTGTTGTATTTTATACTTGCTAGGATAACTTGTTAATTAATTTTAATTGGCATAAAATCGGATTAGATTAGCATAAGACCCTAATCACCCCCCTCTAGGGTCTAACAGATTTGTGGTACGAGGTTATGCGAGAGGAGATGGAGTCTCTTTAGAAGAACGACAAATGGGAGCTTGTCGAGCTTCCAAAGGGACGGAAGGCAATTGGTTGCAAATGAGTGTCTACCAAGAAGGAGGGCATTAAGGGCACTCCAGTGAGATTCAAAGCTAGATTAGTAGCAAAGGGTTATGCACAAGAAGAAGCCATTGGCTACAATGAAGTCTTATCTCCGGTGGTGAAGCACTCTTCGATTCGGATCTTGCTAGCTTTGGTGGCACAATATTATTTAGAATTAGATCAGTTGGATGTGAAAATAGTTTTTTTCATGGTGATCTTGATAAAAAAATTTTATATGACTTAGCCATTAGGGTTTCGAATTGTATGAAAGAAGAAGTTGGTGTGTAGATTGAAGAAATTGCTATACGGGTTGAAACAATCTCCGAAACAGTGGTATAAGAGATTTGATGGGTTCATGATCGGTCATTCGTACATTAGGAGCCAGTTTGATCATTGCGTGTACTATAGCAAGTTGCATGGAGGTGCGTATATTTACTTATTGCTTTATGTTGATAACATGTTGGTTGCTTATATTTTCAGATTTACAATAGATAAATTAAAGATCTAGCTTTCGAGCGAATTTGAGAAGAAAGATTTGGGTGAAGTAAAGCACATTTTGGGGATGGAGATCGACAGAGATAGAGATAAGGGTAAATTTATTTGACATAGATGGCTTATTTGAAGAATGTTCTACAATGATTTAATGTCAGTATGGAGACGAAACCAGTCAGTGTACCTTAAGAAGCCCATTTGAAGCTTTCAGTTGACCTTTTACCGAAGTCAGTTGAAAATAAAGAGTTGATGTTGAACACTCTATATGTGAGTATAGTGGGAAGTTTGATGTACGTCATGATTTGTATGATGCCGGATTTATCAGAGATACTTAGCATGGTTCACAATACATGCACGACCCAGGTCCGAATCATTAGGCTGCCGTAAGATGAATATTGAGGTACATTCGAGGTACTTTCAACGTTGGTTTGGTATTTGAGCGGGACACAAGTGGTGGGTAGCTATGTATTGAATACGTAAATTCGGATTATGCTAGAGATTTGAATAAGCGTCGGTCGACCACGGGATATGTATTCACTTTGACCCGTGTGCCGGTATGTTAGAGATGCACCTTACAATCTACGGTGGCTTTGTCAACGACGGAGGCAGAGTATATGGTGATTACAGAGGCTGTTAATGAGGCAATTTAGCTTCAAGGACTTTTAGAGGACCTTCATGTTTCGCAACGGTTTGTCACCATTCATTGTGATAGCATGAGTACTATATATTTGGCAAAGAATCAAGTTTTTCATATGAGGACAAAGCATATTGATGTCCGCTATCATTTCGTTCGGGATGTTCTTAAAGATGGGAATATAGAGCTCGTGAAGGTCCACACTAAAGACAATCCAGCAGATATGCTCACGAAGGTGGTCCCTAGCAATAAGTTCGGTCATTGTAGAAACTTGTTGCTGATTTGTGCTTGTTGAGGCCTGTCGAGGCCATTTGGATAAACTACGGGTGGCTTGATCCCTTGAGAGAAGGGGTACATAGGTAACCACATTGGTATAGTCGGATTTAGAGAGACGACACATTCGTGCTCTTGTTGGTGTCAGCTCAGTTTTGGAAGCACTTCGTCGAGATGGAGAATTGTTGAAAGCGGGTTATTAGGCCAAACAGGATTCCTAGTCTGTTTTGGTTTTATGGTAACAAGATTCCTGGTCTGTTTTGGTTTTAGGGTTTCTATATATATAAAACATTTTAGAAGTGGAAATAGAGAGAGAAAATTGGTTGTTTTGAACACTTTGAGAGAGAGAATTCTGAGAGGTGAGTTGAGATCTTTTGGTAAGGGTTATTTTGATTGTTTGAGAGTTGTAAGCCATTGTTTTTCTCCTCCATATAGTAAAATCTCCTCATCTTCTCCCCGTGGACGTAGGCAACTTGTCGAATCACGTAAATATCTGTGTTTGTGATTGATTTGTGCCGTTCTTTTGTGAATTACACTCGTTGGTTGTTCTTCTCTCTGGCTCGCCGACTCGTTTGGTTCGTGTACACGCTTCCGTCGACGCGCAACAATAATATATTCATAACCACTCAAAATCAAAATCCTCGAACATATTAGGAAGTATACAAAATTTATTTAATCATGTATATTAACATATTTCAAATTTCTGAAGGACATTCTTCTATACAAAAGCTAAGATAGAAAACCCAATTTATCTTCTATCCATAATAACAAGAAAAATAACAGTAGCATTACAAGTTAGATCAATTCTTTTCCTACACATACAGCTTCCTCCGCCTCCTAGCTCCTTTAACTTGCAAGCTAGAACAAGCCTCACTAGTCACAATCTCATCAATCAAATCCTTAAATATCGATCTCTCGATGTCCAATACAATTCCAGGTACTTCAATGCCTAAATCTTCCCACCCACATGAAGTTTGTATAAGCAAATCCTTGCGAAATCTCAAGTCCTCTTCCTCCACGTTCATGGATGTTGGCCTCTTGACTAATACTTGCTTGATTTCTGAGCATAATTCAGTCCATAAGTACTGACTATTGATCTTCTTGGCTCGATTGAAGAGATCAATTTGAGGTCCATGAATCATCAACTCCAGTTTTTGTACTAAGATTTCCTTTATAATATCAAATATGAGGTCTTGATGGAGCTTATCCGCATTAGACTTTGGCTGAGGTGTGTTTTCTTGAATGCCTGCAGACATTAGTATTTGAAAAACATGATCACAGTCATCATCTGTTGGGCTTATCTGACTTAGATCATTGACCAAGTTCTTGATGACGCAGCGTTTTTGCAGATGGATTTCAGAGCTCAGCTTTGATGTGATGGCATTGGCTAGGTTCATTGAGATCATCTTATCATTATCTGTTAAAAAAAACCAAAATAAACTTTAGTATCGAAACAAAATCGGGGGGAAAAAAATCAGGTTGTCAACTATAAGAAATTTGGCCATTAGGTACTGACCTTCATTTGTACATGAGATTTTATTCATAGGAGAGAGAGGTAAGTCATCCTGGTAAAATGCTGCTTCTAGGACAGAATTGGGGCTTGGCTGCTCTACTGAAACTATTGCAGAATCAATAGATGAAGTATCCTCGTTTTGAATCTGTCAAAGGAATCAACTTCTACATAAATGCAATGCACAATGAAGGATCAATAACTAAGATGCTAATAAGATTGAACCACATTTTCAAAATCATTTAAAAGAGGGTTAATTGCTGATTGACCCCGTGTATTATTGCCAAAATAAACTTACTACCACAGCAGTTCCATTGTAGCCGATGAAAATTTGTTGACCCTTTTCAGGGGTCTATCTACAACAATAGGACTAAAAGGGTAGTGAGTTCAATATGACGATAGTACAGGGTGTCTATCAGAAACTAACCAGTTTAACATGATAGTATAGAGTGTCTATCCGCAATTAACCCTTTAAAAACTGGCAATAAGTAATCAGCAAACTTGGAGTTGACCATCAAAGTCTATTCCTGACTCGTACGCAAAAACATCACATTTTCTGACACACCTTAGTATTAAGGGAATTCTCTGAATTCGACATTAGGATGCTTATTTACCTATTCTCAATGTGTGCATATGTGTGTATGTGTATGTATGTCATTAGGCATGTTATCTGTGCACATTGTCATGGGTGTGTAAATTTTCAAACCTTTTTCAACACAATTATTTTTCTAAAATTTATGTTGTAATTTTGCAATACACGTACCATTTCATTGTCTTTCTCACACGACGGAGAATTTATTATCATGGTAGCCGAGCTAATATCTCCATGTTCCCTTTGACAGATCTCAGCAGATTTTTTGCCTTGGTTATCATCCATTTGAATTTGAGATTTCACTCGAAGATTTCTATTTTGCAAAAGAGGCTCAAATGGCTTCCTCTCGGCTTTCTTCTTTCTAGTTAAGGCCCGTGGTTTCTTCTCAGGTTCAATCTTTCTCTGCTGAACTCTCGGGCTTGAAGACCCTGAACTCTTCACTGGGCTTTCACTTCTTTCTCTCGATGGCTGCTGACGCCTAGGTGATCTCTGCATTAATGGAGCCCGAATCTTCTGTGAATTACTCTCTTCAGTTTTCTTCTCTTTAGGGGTTTGATCTTTAGCCTTTTTCCTAGTTGCTGGATCGCTTGTTTGAACCTTTTTGAGGCCTTCAAGGCCTTCAGATCTTTTAATAGACTTTGCAGGCTTCATGATCACAATTGGGGACTCGAATTTTTGCGAATCCGTTGGTTTCAGATTCTTTGATTGTTGAGATTCAGTCTCTTTGCTCCCTAATATACCCTTAGCTTGCATGGTGTCCAATATGTGTTTAAGAGCCCTCAGATCCTTGTTGGAATGTGAGAACTCCAGCTCTTTTGCTCTTCTATCTATCTGGCTATAAACTGATTCAGTCTGCTGATAACTATGTTTTGAAATACGTTCTTTTTCCCCTTCTCCACTGTATTTTTCAGTATTAGTCCTTGCCAACTTCGTTGGCTCCTGAGATTCTGAACTGGGCAATGCATCTAAGCCCATGAGCTTTGCTACAACACTAGGAATTCCTTGGTTTAGACTGCTTCTACTGAAGTTAGAACTCTGAAGAGAGCTTTCTCTGCTGTCCAATGATAATCTAGGGAGCTCCCTTAGTTTGGTAATAGATTTGCTCCTTGTCATCTCTCTCCCATCACAAGAAAACCGAGGAGCTTCTCTAAGTCTAGTCAGAACCTGAATTGAATCATTCATGTCAACCGACATTATCGGCCTCGGTGAGTCTCTATACTTCAACACTTTGTCTTTCTTTATCTCATCCTTAACAGATGTTTTTACAGATAAAACCCGAAATTCTCCATTAATAGAGTCCTTAATCACATCTCTGAAGTCGTTGCAGATGGGCTTAGTTTGTGAAGCAGAATATGACGTTGAGGGTGAAGAAGAAATGGAAGCTGATGATTCCACCGGGATTTTTTGATTTTCTTTCGAACTCTTGTTGCGATTATGTTCCTGGAATACGTAAATTTATCATTTTAGAAATATTTCTGAGGTTAATACTCGTGAAATGTTATTTTCTTGTGATTCAATATGAAACTTACCCGAACAATTTGTGGAGAACCTGGATTGTGTTCTTCCGTGTAAGTATTGCTGCTTAATTGTGAGTGGCCTATAAAATGAAAATTTACTCACATTAGTGTTTGATTTAAGAACACATAAAGAGTAAACTTCCTTGAAATTATTTACAAAGAAAACAAAAGACTTTGCAGAGCATTGGATAAAAGAAAATTGAATTTGAGTATGATTCCAGAATTCATGATTTTTCTCTTCCAAGAACAGTATCATTGCCTTTTTAGCTGCATGTATCGGGGAACAATAAGAAAATAAATAAAACTTTTCTATTGAGTAAAATCCTAAAATATATAGAGTCACAGAAATGCTGAAAATAGAGTCAATTAAAAACCACAGTGCAGTTTTCCAAAATTCCATTTCTAAAATTTCATATTTTCTTAAGATCCTAGCAAGTCATAATCGTATAAAAGTTACTTGCTTTTTTTCTCCCATCTTTCCCCCCAAAGGAATCATTATTATATGAAATTAAAGATACATTATCTCTTTTCTGTTTCATTCTGAAAATCACAACGTTCTAATGGCTAACTCTTTTCATGGAGAGCAAGCTTGACAATTCCTACAAACTCCAAATATAACACTTTAAAAAAACCACAACCACAGTTATCAACTAATCAAACTATGAGAAGACATACTAAATAATTCATTAGACAATAACGAGCAATCAATGAAAACAGAAGAAAACCCACATTCCACAAACTAATGAGAACATGCTCAAGAATGCCAACTCCCAAAAAAACCACTCCAATGTAGATCACTAGATATATACCTGAAGTGAGTCTCTTATGATTTTGCCCACTGAATCTTCTCCCTGTAATTCGATGATGGCGGTCGAACACTTGAAAGATCCCTGTCATGCACCCAATTTGCCTCTCCAATTCTGGGTTCTCCTCACTCAAACCCATTAACAATTTTGCGGACATTTTATCTGTTTTCTGTTTTTTTCCCCTCTCTCGAGAAAAAACAGAGGAGGAGGAGGAGGAGGGGGAAGAAAGAAGAGAATGTAGTAAGTAAGAAAATGAGGGTTAGTTGGGGGCTTTATTGTGGCAGGGATGGTTGAGGATTCCAAGTGAATTGGGATGAAATGTTAGAAACAGAGTTAAGGGGATGAATTGATTAGGTCAGTAGTAGTAGTAATGGGTTTTGGTCCTTCAGGCTGCATGTGGGACTAAAAATTATTATGATCTATTTTATTACTACTTAGCTTTTTTTTTTTTTCCTATGGGCATGTGATGGTTGTCAGGGGGGAGTTTTTCTTTCTCTCTGCTGCCCAAAGGTTCAATGCTTCCACACTGTCATTTTCCTTTATTTCTGCTCACCAGCTCATTAACAGGAATGCTCTTTTGGCCGGAAAGAGAAGGCTAGCTAGCTCATCATTTCTTCACTCTGCGCATAGAATACATTCATGCAGGAGTCGGGTCTCTTCCTTTTTCTCCCCCACATAAGTTTACCTGTATGTAGAATGTAATTACTTACGTATGAACTTGTCATGCGTCGTATCTTACCGTTACTCCTCCAAAACAAAATGATTTTTCTTCGATGTAATCTTGTTCAATTTTGACTTGTGTTACACCGTCAGCAAACAATTATCTCCCAGAGTCATTCATTAAGGGGCTGTTTGGATCGGTTTTTTGGATGGGTAAAAGGGGGGAAAGCTGTCGAAAATGTCAGCTTTTTTGCAGTTTTCCCCCAAAATCTCCTCTATAAGAGGCGATTTTGGGGGAAGCTGCCGAAAAGCTGACATTTTTGGCAGCTTTCCACCCTTTTACCCATCCAAAAACCGGAACCAAACGGGGCCTAACATCATTAATCAGCAATTCACTAAGTCGAAAATGAAAACAGAAAAATTCAATAGTATTTAACAAACAAGGTTGAAATTGAATAGTTACTATGCTGAAAACTGATAACATCAGTAATTATCAGGAGTCCATGTTAATTATGTTACGGACTCATCGGGGTTCATGAATCATTAATCTGTCAACTTTGCAGGTGATACTCTGCTGATCGCACCTCAACTAAGTAAATAACCTCGACCCCAATAAAAGAATATTCTCTACTTCTTTTGAGAAGATGTACTTTCTTTCTTTTTATTTTTGGGATAATCTAATTAGTTGATGCACTAGGAAAGAAAAAAGATTTGTACTCATCACAATTTTCCCAAATCTGTTTTAAAAATGTCTGTGAGCTTTAGATGTTCAGAATTCCATCATATTTTCTGGGATAAAAACCAGTTGGAGGCTGAAAGTGGATACAATGTGGTCCAGTTCAAAAAATTTCCATCAAAACCTTAAGAGACAGAAGCAATAAAAGCCTCCATGAATCTCACCCAGACTGTCCGAAGTCAGAGAGTCCAGTCCAAAAATCCTTAATGGGTACAGATAAATAAAATTTGCATATTAAAATTTCAAAAATAACAATTGGGTGTTTTATGCACTTATCCCTCCACTGTCCTTTTCCAGTTGCATAGTCGTATCCCAGTATGCTGAACTTTCTGAAGGCAAATTGAAATCTCTTTTGCTTGAATCAAGGTTAGAAATACTTTTCATACCTTCTGCAGTTAGTTTTATATTTATGGAGAAGGAAAGTAACCTTGAGTACATTAATGTGTATAATGTTGCAATATTATTAATTAAAAAAAGGTTTTTTTTCATATTAGTCCCTGAGCCTTTCATAGTTTGAATTAGTCCCTCACATCTTTGTATTCTGAAATTAATCCCTCAAATCTTCTGTCAAATCTTCGCATTTTGAAATTAATCCCTCAAATCTTTTAAGTGTTTTGATATTAGTCTCCCGAATCGTCGTACTTTGAAATTAATCTTTGCAAAACTTGGAAGAGTTTTGAATTCAGTCCCCCCAAATTAGTTAAAGGAATATTCCATGCCAAATCAAACAGCTAGTAACTAGGGGGCGATGGCTAATTTTAAATTTCAATGATTTGGGGGACTAGCACCCATATATCAAAGATTTGCGGGAGTAATATTGAAATAACCCTAAGGAAAACTTAATATCATAATTAATATAGAAAGTGCTACAGTACTCTCACCTCAGGGAGGTATTATATATCGTGTCCTCCCTGGCCTTACGAGATTTTTAATGAGAAGAGAATCAAGAATGCTCAACTCTAATTTGGTATAGTTTCAGAGCATCAGCTCCATGATGGACATGATTAAAAATAAAGGCTTTCAAAATTGTTATCATTATTTGAATTAGATTACAGTTGTGTGTATTTCTATGTGCATGAGATGTGACCATTATTGGTGTATACACATACCAGTATCTAGGAAAATTCTGCTAACTTGATTAAATGTGGGCCCGTTTTCATGTATTCTCATTGATCAAATAGCCTACAAATTGTTATTGATCTTATAATTTTGTATAGATGAGTATTATAGTAATAAACAGGTAGTTAGATGCTAGGTATCTTTTTCATATAAAACTGAATAATTAGGTACTCTAAATATTCTTAAAGGTGATGGTGATTGATTGAGAAGGGAGAATGAGGGGTACAAGAACACATGCACAAAGGAAATGATATCACATGGGAGAAGCCTAACCTAATTGGGCTATATCCACCATGCTCTAATATATCAACCACCATCACCAGTTGTACAACTAGATCACCACATGGAGGTGATACCCCCATATTTTTTTAAGCATCAAATTACCATGTTTTCAGGGTCAACAAGAATGTGATCAAGCCCCTAACCCTTATCATAATCTTAAGATCGACTATGGTAGGTCAATATGTACACGATTCAATGATCATGTGAGGTTCGGCTAACTTGACTTTCTTATACATACTACGATTCAAAATAGCGGTAGCAGTTAGTTTCTTCCTCCCTTGATTTCATTAGGGTCTTGGACCAACTTGATTTGCCACACTTTTAGGAGCAATTCTTGAAAAGAGATTCTTTCCTTCAATGTGATTCATTGGCCATGTACAATTGTGCAGTTGAAGATACGAGATGGTGTGAGCATGAAACTAGGGACTTCCATCATGTTTAGGGCATATGCTTCATCACGAGGAAAAGGGTCCTTTAATTTCCTCTTCACATAAAATCATAGCCTGGATTTGATCTCATCCGTATCGCCCTTCATACAACATAGATAGATTTCTTTAATGCCACATGATCACAACCCAAAGTCTCTCTCAAAAGTATGCGTGATTGTGTAATCATAAATCCAGGGATCATCATCACCATCAGCAGAAGTGGGAGTTGGCTTAGTGAGAGTGCAAGAATCTTGACGCTTTTAGGCCAAGGATCAGGTGAACAAGGGCCAAGTCTAAAAGGGGGAGTAACTTAGCTCCTGATCTCCTTTTTGCATTTTGCTAAGCATGGCAAGTAATTAGGCATCTGAGCCTTGCCTACGAAGCAAAAACTCAACAAGCTCATCCGAGCTGCCGGCAGAATTGGAGCCTGACCATGTGAGGGTGGGCCTCAAATCACAAGGCCATAGCTTTTGGGTTGATGTCCTATGTCCTCCACCTTTCTCTCATTAACACGTGATGTCCCCTTACCAACCATCACCTAGGCCACAACACAAAAGTCCATCCCTAATCCAACCCTGACCTTTTCATCCCAACTCGAGTCGAACCCAAGTTGGTAAAAACCTTCGTAGTGCTAGCTGACCATAGTTACCTGAAACTTTATATACGAGAGAGCAAGGTACTAAAGTGTATGAAGAATTGGTTTCTGACATCAATCCCATACTCAAAACAAGGGCAACCCGGTGTACATCGCTTCTGCTGTGCGTGGGGTCGGACCACTTTCTGATAATAACTGTGTTAGGATGTCTCGCCTTGCGTTTCTTACAGGAGACTGTTTCCATCGCTCAAACCTGTGACCTCCGGGTCACACCAAAACAACTCTTACCATTTCACCAAGACTCTCTCCTTCCATAATTCCGAAAAATACGGGAAAATTTTGTATACTCATGGGACATAGTATTTGTGCTCTTAGGAAACTCTTTGACACTTTTCTGATAATAATTTAACTCGTATGAAGTTGGACGGAACATTGGCTTTCTTCGATTACTGGAAAACTATAGAGATCAGAAAAGTTGTAGGATTTTCTTAGAGGCCCATAATTTGGTGAGATTAATCTGGACTTAGAGAGACGAAATACAATAAAATAGCAGATGGGTCCAAAAAGATACGGGAGTTAAGCTCGTGTTAGCTGTTTGATTACGTACAATTGGGCAAATCACATGTTAGGTGGTGACAGTTTAGTATTCTTATTAGTGCACATTCATATTGGAATCACATATAAGAGTTCAGTAGAATCTGTCCTTTCTTTTATTTATCCATTTACAGAAGAAGATTGAAGTAACAAACGTGTGTATGCAGATTGTCTTGCTTTGACGCAATTTTTTCCCCATAAATTCTTCCTGAAAATATAACATCTTTGTTTTTGGGTCAAAGACGAATTCGAGCATAGTTATGGCACAATGATAATAACAACAATAGGAATGGTGGCCGTGCTTCTGATGGTAAATAGTTGATAACAACAATGAAAGCAACAGAAACATAAATTAATGGCTTCAGCAGGGATAAGAAGAAGAAAAGGTCAGGATAGTGTTTTGGCGAACACATTTTTCAACAGGGCCTGCACATCGTTGGCATGTATTTATCGATCTAATGAAAAAACATAAGAAATGTGACGCTAAAAAATATCCAGATTTCCTTCAAAAACAATCAAGCGCATACGTGCTTTTGTAACCGGGAATAGGAACGTTCATGAAGTACAAATGGAAGCAAGAAGATAGGAATCATCAATTTCTGAAACATTTATGAAGTAAATGTGAGGGTTCATTACAATGTCAGTTATCACGCCAACACAATGACAGGGTGGTGTTTCCTCAGCCAGTACAAAAAATTCATCGACAAGCGTCCAACACCCTTCACCCCCACCAACCAACCCCCTACGACCCACAAACAGACCCCTACAACCACCCACCGTAAGCAACTTCACAATTCACTACCTGAAGAGACTGATGAATAAATTAGCACACCCATACTGCCAAATTCTCAATTATATATAAAAATATCAGCCGTTGGCTAATGGCCTCAGAACATCAAATGCCATCAACCTCAGGCTGAAGAGTTATTGATCTTGTTAACAACTTGCTCATAGTACTTCCAGGATGAATTTTCACTTGTTATAGCATGTCGGCCAAAGGGATGTTGTTGCACGTAGCACTGAACATCATCAGCAAAAGCTAATCCTTCCAAATAAACTCGAAGATCTCCTCCTGACCCTGGTTGTGATATAAAAGATGTAAATTTGGATTTTTCATGCCAAACTTGATTGCAAACCTTACAGGAGAAGATTTACCTAAAGAACAGTCATTTTCATCATTGTAACTGTAGGGGCAAGGGAAGATGCCAGTGAAAGGCTGAAAAATAAAACAATATAGGAGAAAGTTGCCATCATAACATTTTGACAAGTTTTAGAATAAAATAACGAAGACAAAATATTATCTTACAGGATTGCATAGAGCTTTATATGGGGAGTCATCAATTAGCAATGTGTTCACAGGTGAGTAATCTCCTTTTTCCCAAGGAAGATTGTCTCCCTCCTTGTTCCAAAGCTTCTTCAGTTGCTTCAGAACTAGTGGTTTGTTTCTATCATCAAGGGTCTTGAAACCAGTATAAGTGCATTGGGATGCATCCTGTGCGTAAAAACACATGCAATTAAAACACAACTAACATGAAAATAGCAATAACTACATTGCAGAATGCGTGCGAAAAAAAAGTAATACAACTGAAAACAGTCTTATTCAAAATATTTCAAGCATGACCACAAACAGATAAAAAAGGATATATATATATATATATGAGAATGCTGGAGAAGAGCTGGCAGCTCTTCTCCCCTGTGAGCTGCTAGGTGTAAGACATGTGAGCCCCCACACCGATGTGACTAGTAGGGGTCCCACATGTCATGGACTTGTTAGTTTACGAGAAAAAAGAGCTTGATATATTATATATATGATATATATATTATATTATATATATATGGAATGCTGAAGAAGAGGCTGGCAGCTCTTCTCCCGTGTGAGCTGGGCTAGGTGTAAGACATGTGAGGAGCCCCACAGACCGATGTGACTAGTAGGGGTCCCACATGTCATGGACCTGTCAGTTTACGAAGAAGAAGAGCTGCAGCTCTTCTCGCGTTTTTCTGTATATATATATAGCAAAACTTGTGTCAACTTAAGTGGTAGCAAAAGTATCCACCAAGCTTTTTAGCCACTCATATTGCCTAGGGATCCTTGCATGATATGAAATATTTTTTATATTAGATAAATGAGTGACTAGAAAGTTTAGTGGACATCATACTTAAGTTGATAGGAGTTTCTTCTCTCTCTCTCTCTAATATATATATATATATATAGTATATATATATAGTATGAGAGAGAGAGAGAGACCCAAAATTAACAAGCTTCCTGAGTACAAAATATACAATTGCAGCACAGGGGATGCTTCAGTTGGCTAGAGTCTACACAAGATTACGCAAATTGGATCTTATCAGCAGACAACTCTTATTGACACATTCTAAGATCCATGCTAGAACTAAAAGAATGTTCTTTATGATGACACAGTTCGATATAATAAGTTAAACAGTAACTTTTACAGAGAGACTGATTGTTTCCTTCTGACAAATGAAGCTGCTAATAGCACATTGGGGTCACGAAATAAGGTCCAATTCTCCTGATGTTATGCCTTAGATTTCTAGATTAACAAAGTTCTAAGAGCAGAATGGGTTTTAACAAAGTTCTCACTCAAGAAATTTAAAAAAATAAAGAGGGTTTAGTCATATTACACCCCCAAAATCTTGGTTAGTCAAGTCTTCACAAATGAAATTCCGAATCTCTTAAGTAATTTTTAAAAAAGAAACCCCAGGATGAATCCCATCCAAACATCCTACAATAATTTTAAAACACCCCAAGATGATTCCCATCCAAACATCCTACAATAATGTAATTAACTCTTAACTATTGCATTAATCCGACCTGTATCAATCTTTATTTCCCAATCTCTCGTCCGTCTCCCATCTTGAGTGAGTTGAGTGAGGGAGGGAGGGTGAGAAAGGGGTAGGTGAGCCCGCTAAGTTGTTAATTGGCTCAAATCTGACTGTCGCCTTTATCAAGGGCATAAGTTCAAAGCAAAACATTCACTAACATAGACAGTAAAAAAAGAGTAACTAAAACTAACAAACTTAAGAGAGATGGGGGTCTAATTTAGAAA